GCGCCGGTAGCTCTGAGGCGGGTTGCCCGCAAAGCTCGTCAGTGCAATTTTGCAATGCATGTACCTTATGGTCGGAAAATTACATTGGACGTACTACAGCAGAGACATGTACAGGGGGACCGGAACCTTGAGAAATGCTCAATGTTTGAAGGGCTCATTGTCTTCTTCCTGGCCTTCAAAAGCCTCTTTCTAAGAACATGAATCGGGTTCTGACTACACCTGGCTGGGATACTTCTTTGTAGCTGAAGCAGGACCTCTCAACAAGCCCCCATCCAGCTTGCTGCCTCTCCGTTCATCTTCATTCCATGACTGCTCCTAGGCCTGGAATGCTAAGTCAGGAAACCAGACTTCAACCTTCGATTGGTGTATCTGAGCACACCCGTACATATCATTGCCTTTTAGAATCTTCAAGGCTTATTTTTCAATCTCACAAGCGAAGCAATGCCTGTGTTGAAGTGGGCTGCGAGCTTCATGCTCATGTGCCCTGTCATGGTGGGTGAGCGGTTCTCGGGTCGAAGCACCTTCATTAGATTTGTAGGCATGTTTGCTGCAGAACAAATATACACTCGTAATACACCCCCAAACCACCAGAACCAGAGTCTTAGCCATGGGCGAACCCGTTGCTCTGCGAGAAAGCATCTGAAAGTGCGCCAAATGAATCCCAATCTTTTGTCAGAGACCTTGGTAATTCCGGCCAATGGCTGTGGCTGCCCCGCTTTCGAGAACTAGTTTGCTGGTCCTCGGCTTCTTCTTGGTTGAACCAGCCTGTGCAAACACGCATCACCTCATATCTCTCGGGACTACAGGGCGCCGCTTTAAGCTAGCAGCTAGCAGCTAAGTTTCAGACAGTACTGATATCAGAATTTCTCATTTTTTGCCCCTTCACGCCAACATACTATAGTCAGCCTTCTAGCCTTCAAAAGGACCCACGATCTTCTTGAAACCCTGATAGAACCCCTGCGAAACCGCAACCAAATGCAACAGCAGTGAGGAAGAGGAAACGTCGTCTCTTGATGCATCTGATGGACAAGCCCCTTCCTTCGAAATTATGTGAGTAATGGAGATGCCACTAAAAATACAGAGATCTGGGTCCTCGAAGAACAGGAGTTCACAAACCAGGGGTCTACATTGTATGAGGTGAGCTCTTGTAGCCAAAGTGTCATCATATATAATGACTCCCAACATGGAAAAACATGGGTTCAGAAACCCCCAACTCGCAAACCCTCACCCGTGAACCCCGCATCTAACAAGTGAATGCAACAGAGTGAGGAAGTAAGGACGTCTGCAAGGCCTAGCCCAAGGATTTTCTACGTATTGTTTGGCATGGCTCCAAATAGAACCGAATTAGAGGGATTGATTCTTGTTGCGTACCTATTCCTTCCCCGGTCCCTACACAGTAGCAGGTAGCTTTGTGGACTCTAAATATGAGGTTTGAATATGAGGAATGTGCAAAGGAAATCTACGTTTCGTCTAGGGTTCACTTACTTTGTCATGTCAGTACCAGATCAATGCTCCTAGCACTATTGGAAATTTACAAGGACCTCTGATTACCGCACATTCACAAGGTGGCGCAGCATAGAGAACTCCGTGGTAGGTATGAAACTTCCAGGTAGATCTTTACATGCGGATAAGCCTGTCATAGCCGATTCCTAAGCACGTTCGAAAGCCTCTTTTTTTGCTGAGTGGTGCGGGTCCCGGGAGCACGACGAACAGCCTTAAAAAGGTGGTGCTCGTGGCTCCAAGGTGTGAGAAACCGGGCACAGCGCCCGTGACTTTTTTACTACAGCAAAACTGTCCCCCAGAATCCTGGACCCAGGTAAGGCCTTTTGAATGGTATGAAGAAATAGCTAAATCATAGCATGATGAGGAGAGGGGCCGCGAAGCCTGCCTTCAATGGTTGAATAGTGCAGCCAAGGATAGCAACACCTTCGACAGATCATCGCACGTCAGAAGCATCTGTGCAAGCGAATGCTGAGGTTGCGAAACTACAGTAACAAACTATATTGCGGAGCGACACCATTCCGTTACTGTAAGCCAACAAGGGGATATGACGAAGTAGCTTACTCCATATTCTCTTCAAGAAATACGCACCCTTCCACCTTTGAGTCTTTGAGCAGGTCTTGGGTCTTTGGAGCCTGTGGGCGTCCCAGCCGTGGATGTAAAAACTACGTGGCCAAGCTCTAAACCAAGGGCCAAGGCACGACTTCAAGCCCTAGCGCCAGCAGTGATTTGATTTCAACCAGCAATGTCTACAAAACTAGGTTCGGGCTAGGTGCGGAGGGGTCCTTCGTCGGCGTGGCGGCATGAGATGTAACATTAACTAGCAGACTTTGGGTAAGCAACTTCGCAGGGAGTCCTCAAACTGCGTCCACCTGAAACCTTTACACAAAGTCATGTCCTTGCTTGGTGCCCTTGGAGGCACAGCATTGGTATGCCTCCCATCATCGCCGATCTTAAGTGGCGAATGAGCTGGTCTTAAGAAGAGTCTGGATTTCTCTTTTTCACCTATACGCGCTTCAGCTTTTTTAAGATTACTGCTCGTGTATACCTCAGGAACCTACGTTCAAGTGACTGGACCCCCAAGGCCCTACAGATGATTACAATCCCTGACCTGTAGGCAAACCGTACATATCCGTCTGTATGCGGCATAGGGGCAACTTCATGTAGGCAAGATTTGATGCTCAGGCACCGGCTTAGAAACCTATGAATGGTGGCACGAGACGGTCAGGAATTGCTTGGGGAACCCGTACTGGCTTCATGTGAGGTGTGTTAACTTTAGCAATTGGGGAGGAAAGCCATGTTGTATGTATATCGCAGGTCTCTAGCCCCTCAAGTATAAGTCCTCAAGCGTCTCACTCCTACGGTTCCTATATAATTAGACACTACAAGAACCTGAGGAAATTTTAGCCAGTTACCTCAGACCATGACTCCATAAGACCACCTCATGAGCCCTTTGCCAATGTGTTGGAAGCTGCCACATCTGTAGCCCTCACCTTAGCTGCGCAATTTGCTAGCTGCGCCTTAAAAGATGTCATCTTACAAGGGTGCCCAGTGTCCACGGGAAAACAACAGTGTCAGCAGCTAATGTGCGGCTTGATTTCTGGTACTGTACCTCGAGGTCAGGAGCGTCAATTATTTGCGGCGGGGCTTCGTGCTCATTTGGATCGAAGATCGTAATTTCAGTTTGCTGTTTGTTTAACATGTCAGTCAGTTTGCGGCTCCACCTCATGGCCGTTCTCCGTAAGAACTTGATGGACCCGATACCCTGCTACCATACAGGCCCAAATCAAGGAGGTATCACCCAAACAGTAGAGTGCCAGGAAGGTGGTGTCCACGAACATACTATGGTTTGGCAACTGTTTTTGGCCATGGGCAACTTATGGCCACCCTACTGCCCAAAACTTGGTTTAGGCTCCTGTTTCCAAATACCTGATATAGTTCTGTTAAACATAGGATTAATTGGGCTAGACTGGCAATATAAGATTGAATAATTCTAAACTGCTTGCAACAGCCGCTTCCCCAACACCACGTGCCCTCCTGGCAGGTTTTTGAACCATCAATTGCCCAGCTTGCTGAGGGCTGAAATCTGCAACTGTGCAACTCAACATGAAGTAATTACACATGCCCCGAAAGTTGCAGCTACACAGCCACAGAAAATAGACAAGCGCACTCCATAAGTGACTATCTTCATAGGTGCCTTATAGGATTCAGTCGGTCTTGAGGGTTCTGCTTGCACACGTAAGGTTATTGGCGGGGCTTTCGTTGCTGTAAACAAACTTCGAGCTATTTCAAAGCGACCTCCTCACCACAAACAAACCCGCGAGTAGACCTGAAGCGCGCAACTAGCATTCAGGCATGCTCTCGGGTAAGGGGTTCTGGGCTCTCTGAGAATTGATAGCCGAATGACTGGGCTGCACGTGCATGCTCTCCAAGATCATGGCAGTCAACTCCTTCCACTCTCTCTTCACCCAGAAATTGCACCTGGGCTTCTGGCTTCAACGCCTAGCTTGTAGGGCAACCAAACGGGTCATGACTGGGCTTAAGGTCACCCGAAAAGGTCATGACATGCCTGGCTTCCTCTGACTCAGCAACAATTGCTCGGTAACTGAGCAAAGACTCACAGAGCTGTATTGGACTTCTGGAAACTTCCTTCGACTAAAGGGACCCATTAAATGCTCAATCTGGAAGCAGAATGCCCGAGGCCCAAGGCCTGCGAGTGCTATCAACGGTTGAAGTGAGCAACAGCTCAAAAACCATGAGCACTTACAGCCCACGTTACCTTCAAACCCTAAACCCTACCGTCAGGCCTCAGACCCACTCCTGGGGGGTCTTGAAAGCCTCCATGATCTCAGCCTGCACAGGCAGGTAAGACAACAATCCAATTTCTCAGCTGATACGGTCCAAAGGAACTTCAACAATATCTTGCACACAGGTATTTTTGGGTTGGTGCGTCAGTGTATCACAAGTCCCTCCCCCCACTCCCTGACAGCTGATTTTTTTGATCCTGCGAATCGCTTCCCCTAACCATGAACACCCCCAACCCCTAATATTGAATACGACCACAAGTGCATTTCAGCCAGGCCTGCATCATTAGGGGTTCAGGTGCTCAAGATTATATGGAGAAGCGACTAGTAGGTTTGGCATGAGGCGGTGCCCCATATCGCCTTTCTCTTGACTGTGGGTACACCGTACAGTGAAAGAGAACAATCTGACCGCTCAAAACTCACGGAACAGGATGAATTCACAGCCCATTCCGCAGCTCTGACTTCGCCCGGTCAATGCCTGAATCATTGCCCGAAACCCCCTAGCCAAGAGCCGGATCTCTCAGCCCTAGATCCACGTTCCAAGGGAAAGCGCAACAGGCAACACCTTGTAACACTAGCAACCTTGAATGCAGCCACCAACGACTCAACAAGATCCGATAGTTCTGGTGGCTCTTTTGTGAGCCTCAGATAGCCCTTAACCCCCCCCACATACCCTGAACCCTGTCGAAGCTCGGATCACAAATGCGAAGCCCTATGCCAGGCCTCAGGAGAGCCTTCTTCGGGCTCGTGGCTGTACAGCCACTTCGCATTCTCCGGCAGAGACATCAAAATGCTTTCCTTTCGGTTGCTTTGTGGAGAGATGTAGCGGTATAAAGTTGGCGTACATCGTTTGGGCTGTTTGGCCCAGAGTTGAGATTGTTGGGCTTTGGATTTTGAGGTTGAAGTTTATGGTTCTTTTCGACAGGAATGAGGAATTCTTGGGTGCGAAAATCAGAGGAGAGGATAATGACTACAGCCATGTGATTTCCTTCTGAAGCCTATACGAGGTTCCTATATGGCTCTGCTAGCGAGAAATCCACGTGCATAGCTAATTTCCCCTTGCTCACACATGGCGGGGCTGAAGCTTTCGGAGTCTTGAGCTGTTACCCTTTCAAAGCGTCGGCTCGGTTCTTGGAAAGTTGAAATTCCAAGGCTTCGGATGTCTAGTTGAAGGCTGGCGGTAGAACTTCACAGCTTTTGAGCGTGTGCTGCGGTTCTCATTCTCTAGTTCTTGTTCATGGAAACTGCGCAGCCAGGCCAGGCCCGACTGTCCCAGTGCTATTTAAATACTGGCGCAGGGCACCTGAGCGACCTCCATCCCCTAACATTTGGAGAGAGCAGATCTGCAACCTTGGCTAAAAGAGGACCCCCCAAGATTTCAACCTTCAAAAAAAAGTCCCTGAAACTTTCAACTCTAAACCTTGAAGCGATCAACTGTCTCAAGAAATTACCTGCAATTTCTATATGATCCTTAGACTCCGGAACCTGTGCTGCAACGCGTGTGCCAAGATCTCCTCCCCCGTCAAATTGATGCCTGGCACACAAATTTAAATCTAACTCCTAGGACTACTCTCTGCGCCCTTAATCTGAAACACGAATCCTAGCCCCTGTACAGCTAAGATCCCAAAGCATGTGCTAGCTGCTAGAGCCCTGAAGCCCAAAGCCAAGATGCTTAGATCTAAAATCCCATATGCGAAGGGCAAAATCTTTGACTCGGAGGGTCGATGCGGCCAACACCGCTGCTAAGCATCTTCAAGCCGAAGACTGTTCCGCGGTCATAGACGAGGTTGAACTCCACCTTGTTCAGGGTGTAGGGGTTAGGATTCATAGTGGGAACCGGTGGAAGGTGCCTTGGCTTTGAGACGAGGTTGAACTCCACCTTGTTCAGGGTGTAGGGGTTAGGATTCATAGTGGGAACCGGTGGAAGGTGCCTTGGCTTTGTGGATGATAGACTACTTTAGAAACCATAAGGTTCCTTGAGCAAATCCTGCATCCGCCAAAAGCCTGTAGCGATCGTGATGTACGAGTATCTTTCTGCTGTAATCTACAGCAAGAGTTCCCAGATGGCACATGGGTCAAATGGAGGACCGAGAAGGATGACAGTGAGGCTTGCAAGGAATGGAGCTTGAATCCAATGAAAGCTAAGACTATATTTTCGCATAGTCTCTTGGTTGCCTAACCGTGATAGCAGATCATGGGCGACAGGCACGTGCATCCTTTAAGATATTCTTGCTGTGGCGGGGAATAATGACCTTGAGTATGCAGTATGCAAAATCCTGAAAATGATTGCCTCTCCTGGCGAACCCTTTTTCCCCAGTTCAAGCCACTGTTCTAACCTACAAACCTTTTTCTGGCATCCCGTTTTTAAACCTTAGTTCCCCATCTGAATTCTTGAGCGTGTGGCCGCCTCAGTACCAACCAAAAAACAGCATACCCATCAGTGAAAGGCCCTTACCCAAATCTACTTGAATGCCCATTGGGTCCTGTAGGTATAACCTCTTACTTACAAGCCCCACGGAGTAGCGATCGAATCATGTCCAAGCCACGTACCGCCCCCTCCGGACCAGCTGCCACTGCTTCTGCTCATCGGTGAACTCCTTGTCCTCTTCGGGTTCTATGGGGGCGCAGGGTTTGGGCCTCATGGAGTTTGAGATTGAAACTTCAGCGCCTAGGATTTCGAGGGTTTATAGAAATTGGACCTACTCGCGTTTTCAACTCTTGGGAAATTTCATCTAGGATGTTGCACAGGATTCTCTACCCATGCGCCCTTCACCCACTGTACATGAATCCCGGTTTCGGGGGCTTCCATAGATGGGGGATCTCCGAAAAGCCCTGAAGGAAACTCCATAACTGGGTCACCTCCCTGCGCCCCTGATTTTGAAAACCTTCCATTCGGAACTTATTGAGACCCATGACACTCAGTTGCACGGTCCTTGTTCTTTTCAAGGATCGGAACATAGGCCTGCGCATGCCCATGCAGGGATAGAGCTCAGGGCTTAGAAGGCTTCAGGTCTACCTTGGGGTTCAAATTTCTGGCCGCCTACAAATGTACTATTAAATAAATGAATAAATAAATAAATATATATATATATATAATATCTGTATACGCGCACGAACTATCAGATGCGTATCGACATCAGTGTTCCCCACCATTGACACGAGATACCCAAGGATTAAAGAGCGTAAGCTAGCAGAGAAAGTTAACAGGATGGCATTAACTCATTGAATCATCTCACGTCGTAAGCTGAATCCCAACGCTGTCCAAAGCCGTCGAAGCTTTTGCATACTTCTAGGCCCCCTGTGCCAATTTACTGTTCGGGTGACCATGCTTATCCAGCTCTCATATTGACACTTGTGTGTCAATGTCGATCAGTACCGCTGTTGTACCGCCTGTATGTGCACCCTCTGCCAGTGATATAGAGCCTCCTGTCCGGACTACTGACCTCAAACCTACCAGGCCTAAACCTCAAACCCCAAACGTCAGGGCCTAAACCAAAATCAAATGCTCTGAACCTTCCTCCCGAGACTACCTCACACCCTCCCGTACACGATTTCCATGGATCGCATCCAAAAGATCCACCTAAAGACACCCTGGATAACAGGGTGCTTTGACTGGTCTTTTGGCTGAGGCTACATGAATCCCGCAGGGCAAGATGCTAGCAAAATTGCTAAAGCCCTCTCTTCAAAGCCCTGAATGTAATTGCTGAATGTAATTGCTGAATGTCCCACGCTAATCCACCTAGAGGCTGTTCGGAGAAGCCCAATCAGAATCAGGACATGTGCGCAGCTCAAGGAGGGAGGCCAAGGTTTTTTGACAAGTCAGGAAACCGACAGCGGTTCTTTCTAGAAGAAGTCCCAAAGTAGCCCGTCCCGTGGCCTTGGCAACTGCACCCAGGCACTCTGTGGAGAATTTCAAGTGCGTCTCGGGGTCCTGATTCGTACAACTTTCAAACTCAGATATCCTTATGCGCCCGGCACCCCCATGCCCATGTTACTCTCATGTGTCTAAAAATGGGATTTTCCCTCCTGACTGAAGGCTTCTGGTTGAAAGTTTAGGTTGGCTCATGGATGTTGAAGGTCTAGGCTGGCGGGCTTCAAGATCACCTCAGCGGGGAGAGCTTATCTCATGATCAAGACGTGGAGCTACGCCACCAGTCAAGGCTGTCACAAACTCCTGACAGCTCGAGGCTCGATACTGCAAAACATGGGCACGAACTCGAAATCCTGGCTTTGAAGCTGCGTGCCCTGGCTGCGGAGAATGCGAAGCCTTGAACTCCCCAGCCCAAGATCCTCAGCCCTAAGCGCGAAACTCAACACCGGAGGCACCAAACTCCAAAAGCAAATTATCCCAAACGACTTCCTGTGAGGGCGCCCCGTCCTCGGTGTTGAAGTCATCGAAGAAGATGCCGCCCAAACCTCGTGTCTCCTCCGGGCATTTGCAAATTTTGATTACGCTCGTTTATGGCTATCCTACTATCGCAAGCACAGCTGCCGCTCTCAGAAGTAAGATCGAGGTCTGTCAAACTGTGCTCGTTGCAGCTAAACTGAGAACACGAGGGCCGAAGCCTATGCAAGTTGCAGATAAAGGTTCTATGTCAGTAGCTTTTGTGGCGCATATTAAACGATGACTACTAGCCCTCACCTGCACTAACGCGTCAACGAACCAAAAGCTTCTGCATTGGTTAAAGATCCTGGCGATGCTGGATGAGGAAATACTTGTCTGCCCACTTCCTGGACAACGAGGGCAGCCCGATCAGTGCTGACATGCACAGGCATCTCAAAATTGGACCAAACACAGGTGCAGGAATTCTATAGGGGTACATACATGGAGAAGCAAGGAGGTCGACTTGTGCGGGCCAGCGTCTTGAACTTTCCGTACCACTCGGGGTCATACTTGTCGCAGACATCCTTGTAGGTGCCATGGAAGTGCTTCATGTCATCCCGGTCCTCAGTGTGATCTAGAGTCTAGAGTCCACAGGGTTAAATCAGATGTGAAGAAGCTTCGGCGCCGGGCTCGGGTTTCGAGTTCAGGCGTCTCTTGAACGAGGGGCAGCTTCCGGGACCTCCAAAAACGTATTTTGATGATTCAGCCAAGTATTTGGATGTGGATTGTCAGGTCACTAACTAACTGAGCCTTCAGTAGAGGTTGCGCTGCTGTCCGATTTGGGCGGTTGGAGCCTTCAGCGCTGCAAGATTCGAAGAAGACTGAGGCCTTTGTAGTTCGAAGTGAAGAGCCGATGCACGATCAAGGCTCAAGGGTTGCAAGCTTCTGGAAAACATTGCAGCTTCAGTACAAAGACCCGAAGCAGCAAAATGAAACACTGTGTGGAAAGTCATGTGAAATGTTCGGAAGAAGGGATTAGTCTGCCCAGAGTCTGCGCTTTGCTGAAAGCACACTACGTCCTAAAATGTGGGGCTGCGCGCACGCGCCAACATCATGTTCGTCTTCATGGTCTCTGCATTACGGGCAATGATGACGAGACAGATCATGTAAAAGTATGCGCGGACCTTAACCTTGGCACATGCACATTTGAACAGACCCGGTAACGTATAGGAACGACTTGCACGAAAAGGCCTGGAAATCCTGGACGTTTCCTAAACTTGAAGCTGGAAACATATATACAGTAACCTTTTCCACATAGACCTGCCTAAGTCCTGGAACCTTGCAGGCTTGACCTTCAATAGACCTTAACTCCTTCAACATTGAAGACTCAGCCCCTAGCAGTCGCAGGCGCGGACGGCATTGCATTATTTACACATGACCATCGTAATATGGCTACTCGGTCTATCCTACCCGAGGGCCTCTTGAAGTATGCTTTGATGCCTCTGGTCTGCCAAGATGCCAAATAGGACGGAGTGATGTCCGTGCCACCGCCAAACCACCTAAGAGAACTGACTTTCCACGAATGAGAACTAAGATGCAAAAGGTACCCCCGAGACATGGGTTTGTAATGCACGCCGGCACAACTAAACAGCGAAGAAGGAACTGTTGTGGCTCTTGCTGTGGCTGATAGAACCCTTATCGTGAGCAATCTTGAGGCGTTTTCAAAGGAGAAGGCGGCTGCGTGGGGTATGCGGACTGACACACTGAGAAGCCACAAGGCCCATTATATCCAATCGCAGGACTTCTTGGCAACCCGAAAACTAATGCCAACTTGACTCCAAAACATGCCAACTGTTCCACTTTGCAGGCGACGCTAACAGGACAGTCTGTGTGCAGGTCAACTAGCAATGAGGGTTTTTACTAATTACTCTCACTTACGGCTTGCGACCAATTCCCATGCTAGTCTTGTAAACATCGCTCCTGTATTCCTGCTCGAAGCAGATCTTTCCTGTGAGCAGGCTTCCCGTAGTCAAAACTGCCTGGGGTACCAAGTGACCAGGCCCCAGTCTCCGTCTCGAAGTAGCGGTAGTTGAAGTGCATGGTGGGGCAGTGCGGGTTCCTCTTCTTCGGACTTGCGCTTTGCTGATTCAGCTACAAGCAGCTTTAAAGTTGTGTGAGCAGAGGCAGGATGGAGATGAAGGAAGAGCAAGCATGGAAGGATAAGTCCAGTGCTTAGCGGCTTTAGATTTGACAGAGCCGTATGGAACCCTGGCATGGGCTGTCTTGGATGCTTGTGAAACGTCATGTCCTGATAGAGCGCAGTTTCTCTACTTCGTCTGAACCTCTGGGCTCCGCTCAGAAGAGCCCCTCAAACAAAAGCTATCATCCAAAAGAAGCGCTTAGCCAAGGCCATCCGAGGATGTGTAATTCCGCAAGCCGATAGCCCACAGGACGCCGAGCTTCTTGGGATGCATCACGGATGACAGGCCGCAGGCAAAGAAGGGAACCTTCGGGTTGCAGGAGGGAGCTATGCAGCTCCCCAAGAAGGTCTGAACACTTGGCTGCTCATACGTTCTCGTTGCTCATGGTATCATTTCGAGCAAATCCTCTCCCACCCAAGATCCTCCCCGTTGCCTAAGCGTAAACCTGAAGCGTGAAATGCCAAATTGCCATCCTGGCGAGGAATTCCGTGACCCCAGAACACTCGTTCTATGAAGCACCATTGAAAGAATCCAGCTAAGCTTAAGACTACTCGACCCCGCACTGCAAAGAACATTTTGAGAATCTCATGCCTTCTGGCCGGGCTTCAGCTTGCCGCCTGCAACAAAGATCTGCTTCAGTTCACGTCAAGGCTGAGGATTTTGGCTTATAGCTTACAGGTCAAGTACCAGAGAACGTTGGTAGTAAGTCTTGAACTCCGAATGCTTCCGAAAGTTTTCCTTCCTCATCACCCCTCAACCGCACTCAAAGGCTAAAGCCCAAACTATCCTTGCCAGCTGCCCAGCTGGACATACGATGGAAAGGGCAGGGTGCAAAACTGCAATAGATACAAGTAACACCCTGACAGGCATCGGCGCACTCCCAGAACACATGGCTTTTGGGCCTACTCGATCGGCACCCCTTTCGGTTGCGGCATTCAGCGCGGACTCAGGCATCTCACCGTAGACAACCTTGCCGCATTGGGCTTGAATTGGAGTCGATCCCCACATCATGCGCGTAAAAGTCATACACTTCCCCAAAACCATGCAAGCAGCCATAACTGAAATTCTCCCGATTCTTTCTGTAACATTCAGACCCTTTTATAGGTGTCAAAGCTAAGATGTAACAATACATGTGGTACCTCTTCATGGACATGCAGTTGTCGTGGGGGCACGCATAGGCCCGCCTTGACTCAATCTATCGTGAAGCTTCAAAACGGACATTCTTGCTCCTGAGATGGATGAGAATCTAAACCTGAATCGGGGGGCAATGGACCAGCTATTGAGGTTGATAGCCTTGGTCCCGCCAAAAAGAACACAGCACATAGACCTATGGGCATGTTCAAGTGTGTGGTGAAAGACATACATTTAATGAAGGTTAGTAAATGCCAGGCTACAAAGCCCCGAACTGACTCGGACTTCATGTTTCTGTCTCTACGTTGCCTGAATGTCCACACATGACACCTGTATGGAAAGGGGCCCACAGACCCATACGGAGACGGGATGCTCTTGTGATATGCTATTCAGCCGCCTTCCGCCAAACAAGCATAGAGCCTGAACAAGGGCCATGTTCAGTTGTTTTTTGGAGAAGTGCCCAAACAGGTTCCAGGCTCGTCCATGGCGGAGGGTACCACTCTTAAGGCAAGCGACGCTGAGGTTCACCCCAGCTTTCTCAAAAACGTTGCCATTCTGGAGAACCCTGGCGACTCCGCCGCCGCCTCGCTCGCCCCGGGTGTACGGCTCCGTTGAGAACCTAGTTTCGCTCAGAGGGGCTGTGGTTTGGACCTTACAGGCTTTGGGCGATGTTCTGGGTTGAGGGACGCTGCGAGCCCACAGGCCCACATACTAAGACTCTAGGAACCAAAATATACTACACGTCAAGATATTCGGGTCCTTCATGCCTTGAAGAGGAGGAGTGCTGCATGGGATATTGATTGTGAGTTGTGGTTATGGGGTGTGTGGTCGGACAATCCATTTTCAAAAAGCTACCCAGCTGCTGGTGCCAAAGCACTCTGACTAGCTTGCATGCCTGGAGTTGGGGCATTTTCCTCATGTCAACCCTTGTGAAAGATGCGATTGCTACAGCTGGGACTCATCCATAACTTCTCCCAAGAAACCTGGTCCCATGCAAGAGGTTACGTAAAAGCGGCCTAAAGAGCGCCTGCCTGTAGAACTCCACCCCAGAATCTACACATTGCCCTGGTGTTTTGACAAACATCCGATGACAGCAACGCTTGCAGGCTTGGCCCGCAAACCCGAACCCCGATCCCTGAACCCCCTCACTCGCTCAAAGCTGCTTGGCTCCACCATCGCAGTCCTCAATAGCCTTGCAAATCCTGAGCCGCCGGCACGGCACGCCGAATACGTAAATAAGGGTACGGGTGGAGAAAATCTATGGACCTTGATTCGTGTTGAGCTTTTTGAAGTTAAAAATTCGCGGCTATCGAGGGTCAGGCCGTTGCTTGCAAGACTCCGTTTGAGATGATTGCCCTTTCGCTTCCTGCTGGTCTTGGACTGGTCGTATCAACGAGAACACGATACCCCCTCCCTGGAGCTCGGATGCCGCGTAGATAGGTGCTACTGCTAAGAAATTCCGGATTCTTTCTGAACGAATACCGGGAATCCGGAATCCTAGATTCAAATTTTCCGCTATCCGCTAAGTAAATGCTTGAGGAGGAGTTCAAGAAGAACACTGCGCATGTTAAACCATGTCGAGTTCATGCTTTTCGGGAAACATACAGCTCTTTGATACATTGCAGTCATCGGGTCACTATGATGACCATTCAGATTCAACAGCACCTTCTAAAGTGCATCACCGAAATGTTGGCAATGAAGAAACTGGTGAACATGGTCTCAGTAGATCCACGGGTCACACTTGACTTGTGTATATGCACAGGGTTCACGAAACATCAGGTCTCAGACTTGGCCTCCGACAATAGCTTCTTGCCAAACCACGCTCCGTTACAAACCCTTTGTCGCGGGAGGGCTGTCCAAGGCCTGTATTGATCAAGATATGCTCGCCTGAGAACAAGTAAACAACTCTCGAAACATCTGACCGACGACCTTCAGGTTTGTTACTAGTCTATATATATATATATTGAATCTTGAAGATGTGCGACTACAGTACTACAGGCACTCGCTATCTGCACCCCTGAATTCGAGTAGATGCTGCACCTGAAGCTGTCTCCAGAAACCACACACAGGATTCTTGCACACAACTTGGAGCTTTGCCTCCGAGCATATGCCCCCACAAGTTAAACCCTGGCACATCCCCTCAATACTCCTGACTCATCCCAACAAGCCCTCAATGATGTGCTTGCTGCGATTCTGATGAATGAAAAGTCACCCCACACTCTAGAGTTGTTGTTGTCGTCTCCAAATCTCCCCCTGTGATCCTGGCTTATTCCTTTTTGGGCACCCCGCAGGACTTAAACTTTATGGACCAACACAACCCCACACCCGCAACCCAAACCTAAAACCACAAAACAGGCGCCGAGAAGCTGCGCCTGGGCTTCAGCGACCACAGCCTCAAAGCGGCGTCGCATGGAGTCTGGGGCATCCGTCTCCTGTTCAGATCTTGGAAGACACAGGACTGTTGCTTGGGATTCCGAATCTTGGTCTTCAGAGGTCTGCAAATTGTACAGCTCACGCCTTGGGGTTGAAACAGCTGGACATAGGGAACTTAAGAGTTTGGTGACAAAGTATACGACCCTGGACCAGCTCCTTGCAGAGGGAGGTGTACTTCTCCATGACTGCAGATGTAGACTTCACCGCTGTCCTTCATGCAGACTTCAGGCTTCGGCCCTCGGGGTCGGCGCCCAAGGGGTGAGAAGGCTAGACCTGTTGAGGAAAGGGCTGGTCATCTCAGGATAGCAAACCCTGAAAGTCACACGGAACAATGCTTCAACTTGAACTGGGGCCTGGTACATGCGCAGCTTTCGTAGCATGCCGCATGTCTTATTGCATAGACGACTACATATGCGGGCGGCAACAATCCCCACTTCCTTGCATATCTATCATCACTACTCGTACTTTTGTCGGTCGGCTTTACATACTGTAAGTTTCACCGAAGCCATGATGAGTCCTCTTGCGCATTCTCCGCCGGCTGGCAAGCGCCGACACTCCGGCTGCTGCAAGCAGCGCATGAGACGAGCCAGGTGCCTGCAAAGGATGGGTCGACAATTACCTGCAAAAGCCCGATTGTAACTGCACAGAAACCCAGTTTGGGAGGTATGTAAACGGCACTTCTGCTAAACTAGGAAGTCTAGTCGCAGCCAATGTCTCTGGGATTTGGGTACGGAGATGATGTAAGGACCTGGCCATGAGCAACACAAGAAGCGGCCACATAGAACTGCGTGAGCACTGGCCTAAAATTATACGACTGGTTCATATTCACGTCTTGGGAAATTGCATGGTGGTAGCTCGTGATCTCGATGCCTGTCCAACCTCTGGTAAGGTTGTAAGTTGCCAAAGTATTTCAGAGCCCACTACGTGGATCTTATTCCCGTATTCAAAGCAAAAAACAAACAAAGCTTTCCACAGACCTTCCGCGGAGGAAGCCCTTCCGCAGAAGCACGCACAGCTTTTTGCACTTTGGAGTGCGATAGCCCTGGGCTCGTTTCCGCACGTAGATTTACTGCAGTGAGCGAATCAAGCACCGAAGCTTAGATGGCTCTCCCAAAATCGTGTCAAATTCCTCAGAGGGATTCTTTTACGCTCCGCATGATCCCTGCATACCCCAAGAATCCTAGGTTCCGTATCCATATTGCAACGTTCAAATTGCAGCCATGGGTTGCTTTGCGGTATTCTGAAAGGATGGGTGTTTGAGGCTTGAGTACCTGTAACACGCAAGGCAGTCACGCTGTCTGCAGATGTCGCACGCGAGCTCATGAACCGCGAGTTGAAGTCCGAGTCGCTCATGCCGAGGGAAGATTTCAGAAACACCCGCTGGGGTGCCACAGACATGTCAAGCGTAAGCTGCAATCGTCCACAACGAAAAAAAACCTGAATTCCAGACCAGAGAAAACACCACACACTTGCGGCGGGGCAGGCTTGGGGGAGGCCCCAACCCTCACAAGTAAGATCTCTGCTTGGTGAGGAAGTTGTGGAACAGGAATCAGACGCTGCATCATCCCTTCCGAAGTTTCAAACACCCGTTTTTCTAGATGCAGCTGCTGCTAGAAGGATTCCTGCCCAATCTGGGTTCCTGCCGCGCTTTAGTAATTTCGAGGATCTATGTACTGAAGGTGGTCCAGGACTCCATCCACAATAGAGCATTATACCCCAACAGTACAGCCAAACGTGACCCCCACAGAAATGCACCACCATTCCTGTTGCGGGCACTAGCGGAGAACAATCACAACACATTCCTCATCTAGTTCCTGAGCACCTTCACAAAAAACACTACGTCATCTCTGTTTTCCCTATGAATCCCTATACACTCACAACTGTCGCCCTTCATGTCCTTAGGAAGCACTATGGATGTCCTTTACAAGCTGTAACCTCACAGAACCGGCGAAGGCCCACCTGAGAGCTGGCAGTCGAAGCTGCTGAAGGGGCCTTTGCTCTGTCACTGTGGCTGAAAGGCAGGCATTGGGGATCATTAGGGCATATGCGGTGCCCTCAGTTCCAGTGATGCAAAACTATCTTCTAGTCAATTGTCTCTATACAGTAATGAGGATTTTTCAGAACTGTAGTCATGAGAGATCCCAATTTTGGCACATACCCTCATCTGGCCTACGGAACTACAACACGCTGCGGGGTCAGCTAGCTGGGACTAGCGGCCAGGTTGATCGAAGAAGCAGGCTTGGAGAGGATTGAGGATCAATCTGTTTTTAAAGGGAATGGGATTGACTTGCACGAAACGTTGTCTCAAGACAAGGCCTGTCTTCTCTACAGGGATGTGAGGCCTCTAAAAGCCTTCATGCTTCTAGGTGACTACAGGTTTACTTCTTCTGGTTACGCACGTGAATTTGCGTGTAGAGGCGCTTTGGTTAAGGCTCCCCTCGACGACAACCAAGGCGCCCGAGAAGGAGGTTTACTCAGACAGTGCCCCCCTTTTTAAGCATGAGCATAACCGCGAAATTGACACAGCTGTTGGTGCTCAGCGTTTAGATGCTTATGACTGAGGGCCTGAGATCTTGTTTGGTCTTCGCTGCCTCTTCTTGTAGATATCTAGCCTCTGCCCCCTTGCAAGCATTGGAAGAAGAGCTAACTGTGGCTCCATCGTGCAAGCCAAGCCTGTCGTACGTTCAGTAGTTGTCTGACCACTCAAGAAGTCTGAGCTTACGTCAGTTTCTCAAAATGCGGGAGGGTTAGCACCATGTCAGGACTCCTCATACACGTGACTCTCCCTCAAATGAAACGGAGCCCAATCTCTTGCGCACTACCATACATACTTGGAATGCGAAACTTCTTTGCATAAAGCGAGGGCATCAGCCAACCATCTTGGACTCAGTGCAATGCCCTCAGAATGTCCGATGCAATGCCACCAGCTGAACAGACCCCTCAACAATCCCTGGTCGCCATACCGAGTTGAAGTTTGGGGGGCTCGCCTTGGACGCTGCATGCCAGAACTCATTTTGAAGCTACTTAGATCCTGCAACTGAACAACTTCAACATACTTTTAGCCGAATCCCTACAAAGCCTAACCTTGAGGGCTCCCAATACCTGGATAGTGGGCCACGCAACATGGCCCTCTAGTTCTCCATATCTCATGGGCTATTTCCGTAGCTGGAGCTCTCCTTCGAGCTT